CAATGGTCAACATGGACAGGATTTATATTAGGTTAGTATGTGTACATGGAATGGTATGAATACACTTGCAATGGTCACAGTATGGGCAGGGTTTATACTAGGTTAGTGTGTGTACATGGAATGGTATGAATACAGCAATGGTCACAGTATGGACAGGGTTTATAAGGTTAGTATGTGTACATGGAATGTATGAATACACTACAATGGTCACAGTATGGGCAGGATTTATACTAGGTTAGTATGTGTACATGGAATAGTATGAATACACTGCAATGGTCACATGGACAGGATTTATACTAGGTTAGTATGTGTACATGGAATGGTATGAATACACTGCAATGGTCACATGGACAGGATTTATACTAGGTTAGTATGTGTACATGGAATGTATGAATACACTACAATGGTGTTTTGTTTATTATGTGTATTGAAATATGTCATAAGAATGTATTAGGCTAACAAATATAATTATTTGTTTCTAGTCAGCGACATGCCATTTCAAAATTGGTCATTTGTCTCCTTTTTTAAATCGATTGTGGGTAAGGACTTATTTTATTATTTTTGAATCTATAGACCATCTGCTTATTATTTATTGTTTTGTTGTCATAGGTGGCGTCAGTATGGTCATATATTACCGGTGTTATCATCCGAATCATTTGTATCTAAAACAATGTGGTATGGTGTCTTCAGAAGATAACACACATGGAGCTAATCAACCAAGATTACTTTATCCTGTGGACATCAATGTGAAAGTTGTAGATGAAGTTCAGTTGCAGAATGACGTAGCATATAAGGAAGCAGTCGGAAAACAAACAGATACAAATATACACAATGTGATGATGCCAAAAGGTGGAAGAGATTACCATGGTAACCAAAGTGAACTAACATCCCTGCAAAGTTTTCATCTTGGGTTGTCTGTTTTCACTGATGACTTGGTAGATCATTTTGATAATGCTCAGCTAGCTTTATTTGATGATTCAGTTGCTGTCAAAGAATCTGTTTCTAACTTGCGAACAAGATCTGTTACCAATTCTCCTCTTTTACTCAAGGATAGACTTGTAAGAAAGACCCGGTCTGTTGCCAACTCTCCTGTATTGTACACTTGTAAATCTGATCAGAGCTATGATACTTCCTTAGAACCACTGCCTAACATATCTCTAGGGTCTCCACCTAAGAGTACAGATGCAGAGGAAGTCAGAAAGATTTATGATGCCATACTTGGTGTATGTAAGAGTAAACCAGTGTCAGCAAGGAAATTATTCCAATCTGGAGAGAGCCTGGATGGAAGCCATACTTCAGTGTGTAAAAAGGGATCCCCTGTACCAACATACGACCACCTAGCACGACAAGATAAACGTTATTATCATTTAGACTATACTGCAAAATGGAATAGTTATAGGTCAGATGAGTCAGCCAATCAGAGTCATTTTAATCTCAGTAGTTTAAGTAAACCAGATGTGTTACCATCAACCAGTCATCATCAACCATTAAAAATGAATCAAATGCAGGAAGTCAAAGCAAGTCAAAATACAACCAATCAGAACCATGCTGTTAAATTACCCATACATCAGGATAAATCAGCCAATCAGAATCAGGTTATTAAAGGGAGTCTGTATAAACCAACCAATCAAAATCAGGTTGTCAAAGGGGTTCTGTATAAACCAGCCAATCAGATTCACTTTGTGAAAGGTGTTCAGGATAAACCAGATTATTATACTCAGAAAACTAGAATTTCAGAGAAACAAGCTGATAAAAAGCAAAGAAGGAATTATTCTGATAAGCAAACTTCAGTGGCAGTATTGAGGGAAAATAAAAATGATGAA